GGAAAAATCGTGAAACACGTATATTCAAAAATTGAAACATCAGAAATCCAAAAACATACTATTTTAAAAGCCGAAAAATTAAAATATCGGGAAAATGAAGCATTGGAAAATTGAAAAATCAACAAATCGAAAAATTGAAAAATTGAATTATATGTATTTATAAATCGAAAAATTCAAAAATCCAGCAAACTGAAATAAATTTAAATAACGAAAAATCCAAAAACTGAAATATCGACAAATTGAACAATTGCAAAAAATTGAAGAATCAAAAAATTTTAAAAACCCAAAACTGAAATGCCTAAAATAATAAACATCAAGCAGCCAAAAACTAAAAAAATGTAAACACGAAAAATCGAAAAATCAAAAAACTGAATAATCTAGAATTTAAAAATTCGAAAGACTGAAAAATTGAAAATATATAAAATTTAAAGAAATGAAAATAAAATATATAATATCAAAAAATTGAAAAATCGAAACATTGCAACACCAAAAAATTAACAAATGCAAAAACCTAAAATTTAAAAATCGGAAAATACCGAAAAGCCGAAAAATCGAAAAACTAAGAAATCGAAATGGCTCAAAATCTAATAATCGAAAAGTTAAAAATTGAAAATTTTAGAATTAAAAAAATTGAAACTTGAAAAAAATTGAAAAATCGGGAATTTGAAAAATCTTAAAAATGAAAAATTTTGAAAATTGACAAATTGAAAAACCGAAAAATCTGAAACCGAGAAGACGAAAAATCAAAAGATTAAGAAACCAGAAATTCAAAAAACTAAAAAATCTAAAATTTTAAAATTCGAAAAATTGTGAAACTAACGCATCGGAAAATTGAAAAATCGAGAAAGTCGAAAATCTAGCAATCGAAAAACCGAAAAATTTAATAATTTAAATAAGAAAAAAATCCAAAACTGAAATATCGACAAATTGAATAATTGAAGAATCGAACAATTTTAAAAACCCAAAACTGTAATATCGAAAAATTTAAAAATTGAAAAACATAAATCGCAGTCGAAAATTTTAAACATCCAAAAACTGAAAAATAAAAAACTTGAAAAAATCTAAAAATTGATTGAAAAACTAAAAAATCTAAAATCGAAATAACGAAAAGTCTAATCACTGAAAAATCGAGAATTCGAGAAATCCGAAAATCAAAAAATCGTAAACTTGATTCTGAAATGCCTAAAATGATTAACATCAAAAAGTTAAAAACTAAAAAATCGTAAACACGAAAAACCGAAATATTAAAAAACTGAAAAATCAAGAATTTCAAAACTCGCAAGATTGAAAAATTGAAAATCCAGAAATACAGAAATCGAAATCTAAAAATTTCAAAAATTTAAAATAAAAATATCGAAAAATTAAAAAAACGAAACATCTAAATTACAAAAAATTGACAAAATGAAACACCTAAAATTTAAAAATACGAAAGCCGAAAAGCCAAAGAAACGTAAAGTCGAAAACTGAGATTTTGAAATAGCTCAAAATCGAAAGTAAAAAATCGAAGAATTTAAAATTACGAAAAAAGAGAAACTTTGAAAAATCGAAAAATCGTGAAATTGAAAAACCGGAAGCCTGAAAAATCAAAAATTTTTACGATCGACAAATTGAAAAACCGAAAATCTAAAACCGAGGAGTCGAAAAATCGAACGATGGCGAAACTGAAATAATCAAAAACTGAAAAATCAAAAATCAAAAAATATAAAATTTTAAAACTGAAAAATCAAAATGTCGTAAAATTGAAAAATCGAGATATCGAAACAAAAATAGTCGAAACATGGAAAAATCTAAAATTGGAAAATCGAAAAAAGCCAAAAATCGAACAATAAAAAAATCGAAAAACTAAAAACCCGAAAAGTTGATTCGAAAAACTAAAAAATCAAAAATCAAGAATTTGAAACATTATAATCATCATACAATAATATGCACTACGAATGACCCCTCTTATTAAACTCACTGTTCCGCCACTGGTGGAATTATACTTGTCAGATGATCATGACCCACTCTGCTTATTTGTAAACGCACGGTTTCTACACCTTTGATAATTAGTACACACGAAATCATTTATCAACTTTTGACATATTTGCCAACTGATTTTTTCATGTTGCGTAGAAATCTAAAACCGAGAAGTCGAAAAATCGAAAGATCAAAAAACCGAAAAATCAAAAAACCGAAAAATCTAAAATTTAAAAATTCGAAAAATCGTAAAACAGAAATATCCAACAGCTGAAAAATCAGAAATCCAAAAACATAAAACTTTAAAAACCGAAAAATTAAAATATCGGAAAAATGACACATCGGAAAATTGAAAAATCAAGAAATCGAAAAATTGAAAAATCTAGACTGAAAACTTGAATATTTAAAAATCGAAAAATTCAAAAATCCAGCAATCGAAAAATCCGAAAATTGAAGAATTTAAATATCGAAAAATCCCAAAACTTAAACACCGACAAACTGAAAAATTGAAGAATCGAAAAAATTTAGAAACCCAATTTTAAACTGCAAAAACGAAAAATCGAGAAATCAGAAAGTCCAAAAATCGACAATTTTAAACATCGAAAAACTGAAAAATCAAAAACCTGAAAAAGTCAAAAATTGATTTGAAAAACTGAAAAATCAATAATTTAAGAAATAGGAACATTGAAAAATTGAATCGGAAAGCCGAAAATTTAAAAAATCGAGAATCGAAAAGTCCAAAATTAGAAGTCAAAAATCGAAAATGTTTAACATCAAAAAACTGAAAAATCAAAAATCTGAAAAATCGAAAAATTGAATTGAAAAACTGAAAAATCAAAAATCGCGATAACAAGAAATCCAAACATTGAAAAATCGAGAAATGGGAAAATCAAAAAATCGAAAACTTGATGACGTCAAACAGTTAGCAACTAAAAAAACCTAAACTGGAAAAAACGAAAAATCAAAAAACTGAACAATCAAGAATTGAAAAAATCAAAAGACTGAAAGATGAAGAATCGAAAATCCAGAAATACATAAATATTATGAAAGCTAAAAAATTGTAAAAAAATATCAAAAAATTGAAGAATCGAAAAATTAAAAAATCGAAACATCGAAACGCCAAAAAATTGACAAATTAGAGAACTGAAAAAAATGATATTTAAAAATTCGAAAAATCGTGAAAAAGAAGTATCCAAAAACTAAAAATCAAAAATCCAAAAATATAAAATTTTAAAAACTGAAAAATGAAAATGTCGGAAAACTGAAGGATCAAAAAATTCAAGAATTTCAATATCAAAAAATCCCAAAACACAAAACTGATATGCCTGAAATGATTAACATCAAACAGCTAAGAACTAAAAAACCGTCAGCTCGAAAATTTGAAAAAACAAAAAACTGAAAAATCAAGAATTTGAATATTCGAAAAATTGTGAAACAGAAATATCCAAAAAGTGAAAAATCAGAAATCCAAAAATATAAAATTTTGAAAACTGAAAAATTTAAATCTCGAAAAACTGAAAAATCGAGAAATCGAAACAAAAAAAAAACAAAAAACTGAAAAATCTAAAATTCAAACAATCGAAAAATCGAAGAGTCGAAAAATCGAATAATCGAAGAATTTGAATATCGAAAAATCCCCAAACTGAAATATCGACAAATTGAAAAATTGTAAAAAATTGAAGAATCGAAAAATTTTAAAAACCCAAAACCAAAATGCTTAAAATGATTAACATCAAACAACTAAGAACTAAATGTAAACTCAGAAAAATTGAAAAATCAAAAAACCGCAAAATCTAAAATTTAAAAATTCGAAAAATCGTGAAAGAGATATCCAAAAACTGAAAATCTGAAATCCAAAAATATGGAATTTTAAAAATTGAAAAATTAAAATATCAGAAAATTGAAAAGTCGAGAAAGTCAAAAATCGAGCAACCGAAAAACCAAAAAATCAAAAAACTGAAAAATCAAGAATTTCAAAATTCGAAAGATTAAAAATTGAAAATCCAGATATACATAGAAATAGAAACCTATAAAATTTCAAAAATTTAAACAAAAATATCGCAAAATAAAAAAATCAAAACATCTAAACTACAAAAAATTGACAAATAGAAAAACCTAAAATTTAAAAATATGAAAGCCGAAAAGTCAAAGAAACGTAAAGTTGAAAAATCGAAAAAGTGAAAAATTGAAAAACCGAAAACCTGAAAAATTAAAAATTTTAATTTAATCGAATATTCAAAAACCGAAAATTCTAAAATCGAGAAACCCATATGTAAATACAAAAATATGCACTACTAAACTCAGCGGAATTCTACTTGTCAGAATATGATGAATTGATGACCCACTGGGCTTATTTGTAAAGGCACGGTTTCTACACCTTTAGGAATTGGTACACAGGAAATCATTAATCATGTTTTGAAATATTTGGCAACAGAAATCAGCAAATGTTTTTTCTCCTACATTCTGTGGCTTTGCCATTAGTTAAAGTTTAGTTAATTTTTAATAAATTAGTAAAAAAAAAAATGAAATAGTGAAATTATATAAATGGTGCACGCACTACTTATGGAACAAATCAATAATCAAGTAAAAATCAAATTTATCGAAAATTCTAGGAACGTGTGAGCAAGTTTCCAATCACTCATAATGTAGTTAACTTTTGAACTGTGAAGTCACTTTGAAATTGCTCAATTTTATATATTTTTGGACTAAGGAACTAACCACGTGGCTTTCACGTCTGCACCTTGTCGGATATAACGTGATCCGAAAAGAAAAAAAATGTCACACACAATTTTTACTACATACTTCATTCCATTTTTTAAAATAAAAACATTATTCATTTCTAAATTACCACCACTCAATATTTAGTCAAATAAGGAAATAAAGGAAACTGATGCATCCAATTGAAGGAAATCTCGACTCAAAAATAGCACTCGGGGCCACCCACAACGGTGCCGACCACTTGTTCTTATCACTTAGACTATGTCATTATAGATAAAAAAAATAATTTTTAACAGTTTTTGACAGATAAAATCTAATTGTTTCAGTTAAATAATAGAGTCGGTACCTTGTGAAAACTATTATTCTAGTGTAGTGGGTTGTGTAAGTACCTCGTTCTCTGACTAGTAGGTACTCATTAACAAAATAGTTTTTGCTTTATTAATTGTTCTAAAACAATTATTTAAAAAAAATATTTTAGGACAAAATGGACTTTCTATTCCTCGCACTTTTGACGGTCTTCGCCCTGTCTTTGAAAAGTATGCTGCAATGGTACCAAAGGAGAAAGAAGATCTGGGACGGCATTGAAAAATTTGGAGGCGAAAAGTGGTACCCCATTGTTGGTACCTGCCTGGATGTAATAACAGCACCAAGAAACAGTAAATACTAAAAAACACGAAGGCCATTATTTCAATATATTTTGTTTTTTTAGAATTCTACGAAATTTATGCCGCCAGAAATAATAAGCATGGTCCGATTTTTAGAACATGGATGGGTTCTATTCCCGCTGTCCACATCATGAAAGCCGAACATCTCGAAGTGAGTACAAATTTTTCGAAAAATATAAGCGACCTTAATTAAAATCTAAATAAACGTCATCGTGAGCGATAACACAATCAGATCGTTGCATCAGCTGCACTCCGATTACGTTCGAGTAACAGTCGATTGCCCATGATCGATAATGATGGTCCGATTAGATCCCCGGATTAAAATCTGCTAATCCATTTTCAGCCGGTCCTGAACAGCACCAGCAACCTCCGAAAGGGCGACTTCTACACGTTCATCGAGCCCTGGCTGGCCGAAGGGCTCATTTCCAGCTCAAGTAAGCTCCTCGTCCCGACCGACAAAATCTTATCGTCCATTACTTGCAGACATCAAAAAATGGCACCATCATCGAAGGCTAATAACACCGACCTTTCATTTCTCCATCCTGGACAATATGGGGGACGTCATGAGCGAGAAAGCTCAACTCCTGGCTGAACTCCTCGAGAAAAAGGCCGATGGGCAGTATTTCGACATCTACCCGTTTCTGACCCATTGCGAGCTCGACATCATTTGCGGTGAGTACTGGGGGTGGGTTTGTTGATGGAAACGAGGGGTGCGGATTTATTAAAAGTGCGGAATAAAAATAGAGCGAAGTGTTTAACGATGATATTAATTGGGGGTTTGTTAGGGTCGGTTCTGGAACAGCGCTACCAAGTAAAGTTTATTTTGGGGCAAAAAATAGGAAAATGTGGAGACGACGACCAAACACTGCTTTGCGTTTTGATGAAGCCAGTGTTGACAGAAATTATACAAAAAAATTTCGATCGAAGTCGATTATTAATTTGGTAATAAAATAAAATGACATTGTTATTAATTTTTAAGAATGTTGGACTTTAATTTTGGCCGTTTTAAATAACTGTCAATGTCAATATTAATCATAGATAAGATAATAATCAATCTATTGTCATAATCCGAGATAAGCCGTTTATAAGTGAAATCAGATAATTCTTAAATTAGCTTTTAATGTCCATTATATTGTAATTACACGAAAACCGATTTAAAACGATAACTCATGTTTAACTAAACTGTTTTTGATTTAATCTTCTTAAACGGAAATTTTAACTTTAAAAAATTGGTCGAAGGATACTTTGACAGAGCTTCGCGGGAAATAATCAATGCTTTCCGAAAAATCGAAAAACTCAAATATCGAATATAGATAAATCAAAAAATTTTTAAAACCGAATAATCGAAATCCGAAAAATTGAATTGTTAAAAAACTGAGAAATCGAATCAAAAAATTGTAAACTCGAAAAATTAAAAAATCAAAAATTTTAAAATTCAAAAACTTAAAATTTGAAAAAGTCAAAAAATCGAAAAGCTAAATTTAAACCAAAAATTGAAATTCCATAAATCGAAAAATTTTAAATTTCAAAAATGAAAACCTCGAAAAATTCAAAAATTTAGAACGCGAAACATCAAAAAATCAAAAAATTCAGACCCCTAAAATTCAAGATCGAACGAAAAAGATAAAAGTCGAAAAATCGGAAAACTGAGAAATGGCAAAAATTCGAAATTTAAAAAATCGAAAATTGAGAATATTGAAAAATGGAGGAATTAAAAATTCCAAGCCGAAAAATTGAGAAATAAAAAAATTCAAAAATTGAAACATCGAAAAATTGAAAAATTAAAAACCTGAAAAACCAAAAAGTTGCATTGAAAATCGGGAAATCGAAACACTGAAAACCCGAGAAATCAAAAAATCGATTAATCGCGAAATTGAATAATTGAAAAATCTAATAACTGAATCATCCAAAAATTTAAAAAATCGAAGAAATAAAATGGCACGAAATCGAATCAAAAAATCGTAATTCCGAAAAATTGAAAGATTGAAAAATCAAAAAGCCGAAAACACGAAAAACCGAAAAATCGAAATATCCAATTTAAACCAAAAATTGAAAAATCGATAAATCGAAAAAATTTTAATTTCAAAAATGAAAACTACAAAAAATTGAAAAATTTAGAAAAAGATGAAAGTCTGAAAATCGAAAACTGAGAAATGTCAAAAATTCAAAATTTAAAAAATCGAAAAATGGGAATATTGAAAAATCGAGGAATTAAAAGTCCCAAGCCGAAAAATTGAGAAATAAAAAAATTCAAAAATTGAAACATCGAAAAATACAAAAATTAAAAACCTGAAAAACCAAAAAATTAAAAACCAAAACATTGAATGGAAAAAGTGAATAGGTACTCGAAAAATGGAGAAATCGAAACATTGACAAGTCGAAAAATCAAAAAATCGATTAATCGCGAAATTGAACAATTGAAAAATCTAAAAACTGAATCATCGGAAAAATGTTAAAATCCAAGAACTAAAATGGCAGGAAATCGAATCAAAAAATCGTAAACACGAAAAATTGAAAAATCCAAAAGTATTTTAAAATTCGAAAAATTGAAGGTTTGAAAAATCAAAAAGCCGAAAACCCAAAAACCAAAAAAAAGTGAAACATCCAATTTAAAACAAAAATTGAGAAATCGAGAAATCGGAAAATATGAAATTAAAAAATTGAAACATGAAAATATGGAAAAATTTTAAATCGAAAACAAAAAATTCAAACACCTAAAATTTAAAAACGTAGAAAAATCGAAACATCGAAAAGTTGAAAATTCGAAAAAACGAGAAGCCGAAAAGTGGAAAAATCAAAAAACTGAAAAATCGAAACAACAAAAAATGTAAAAACTGACTGAAACATCGATCGAATTAAAAACGTGAATAATCGAAAAATTGAATAATCAAAAATTTTTAAAATCGAAAAATCGAAAGAGAAATCCATAAAAATGAAAAATGTAAAATTTAAAAATTTGAAAAATCTTATATCAGAAATATCGAAGAACTGAAAAACCGAGAAATCAAGTCGAAAAATTTTAAATTTCGAAAGTACCTATAAATGAAAACCTCGAAAAATTGAAAAATTGAGAACGTGAAACCCAAAAAAATCCAAAAATTCAAAACCTGAAAAATTGAAAAATCGAACGAAAAAGATAAAAGTAGAAAATCAAAAACTGAGAAATGGCAATTTAATGACAAAATTTAAAAAATCGAAAGATCGAAAAATTGAATAATCCAGGAATTAAATAAAAATTAATTGAAAATTCGAAAAATGGAGAAGCCGAAAACTGGGAAATAGAAAAGTTCAAAATATAAAAAATCGAAAAACCGAAAAACTGAAAAATCGAAGTAACTCAAAATCGAAAAGAAAAATTCAAAAATTTCAAAATAAAAAAATGGAAAACGTGAAAAAGCGAGAAATCAATAAATCCGAAAGTCGAAAAGTTTTAAAAGTTAAAAAATTGAAAAATCACAGATTTTAAAATTCGAAAACCGAAAAATTGAAAAAACAAAAAGCCGAAAATACAATAAATCCAAATTTAAACCAAAAATGAAAACCTCAATAAAATGAAAAATTGAGTAAACGATACATCAAAAAAATACAAAAACCTAAAATTCAAAACTGAAAAAATTGAAAAATCGAACGAAAAAGATAAAAGTCGAAAAATCGAAATAACTGAGAAATAAAAAAAATCAAAATATAAAAAGTCGATAAATCGAAAAACTGAAAAATCGAAACATCAAAATTCAACAAATCGTAAAGTCGAGAAGTCGACAAATCGAAAAATTGAAAAATCAAACTAGCAATAATCGAAAAAAAAAAATCATAAATTTCAAATTAAAAAAAAAGGGAAACTTATAAAAGCGGGTAACTGCACAATCGCAAAATCGAAATATCGAAATCTAGATAAATCGATAATTAGAGAAAAACTGAAAAATCTAAAATTTTAAAATTTTAAAAATCCTAGAATAAAAATATCGAACAATATAAAAATCTAAAAAATGAATAGTTAAAATACCGAAAAATTCAAAAATCGAAAAATTGTAAAATCAAGAAATGGAAACATCAAAATATCGAAAAATCTAAAATATAAAAATCGAAAAATGAATAAAACGAGAAAGTGAAAACAAAAAAACGAAAAGTCAAAAAATCGAGAAATTGAAGAATCAAAAAATTGAATTGAAAAACTGAATAATCGAAAAATCGAGAAATCGAAACATTAAAAAGCCGAAAAATAAAAAAATCGATTAATCGTGAAATTGAGCAATTGAAAAAATGAATTATCGAAAATTTTACAAACTGAAAAATTGAAAAATCCAAAAAAACCAACGGTTTTTTAAAACAACCAAAAAATATAGAATTTGTAATTCGAAAATTTCAAAAACTGAAATATCGAAGAATTGAAAAATGGAGAAATCTAAAAATCTATAATCTGAAAAACTGTAAATTAAAATATCGAAAAATTGAAGAACTGAAAAATTGAAAAAATCCTGAAATCGAAAAAATTAAAATTTTAAAAACTGAAAAATTAAAATATCGAAAAATTGATGAATTGAAAAATTGAAAAATCGAGTAATCGAAACACGAAGAAATCGAAAAATTGCAAAATCCCAAAACTGAATAATCAAAAAATTAAAAAATTGAAGAAAAATAGAACAATCGATTAACTGAAAAACCTAAAACTAAAACAACGAATAATTGAAAAATTGAAAATAGAGAAATCGAAAAGTCCAAAAATCGAAGTCGAAAAATCGAAAATTTAAAAAGTCAAGAAATCGAGCAATCGATAAGTCGAAAATTAAAAAATTGAAAAATCATAAAACTGACACATCAGAAAATTGAGGAATTCAATACCTGAAAAAACGAAAAATTGAATTGAAAATTGGAAAATCTAAAAATCACGAAACCGAGAAGCCGACAAATGGAAGCATTAAACTTTAAAAGTCGAGAAATCGGAATGTCAAAAATTTAGAAACGTCAAAAAATGGAAAATTGAAAATCGAAAAATTGAATAATCGTAAAAGTGACACATTGGAAAATCGAGAAATCGAACAATAAAAAAATCCAGAAATCGAAAATTTGGAGAATCGAGAAATTGAAAAATCGAAAAATGAAAAACAAAAAAACTAAAAAAAATACCAAAAGTAAAATATCGAAAAACTGTTAAGAGAAATCGGAATCTTGAAAAGTGGATAAATCTAAAAATCGAAAAGTGGAAAGACGAAATGTCAAGAGATCGACTAAAAAATAACGTAAACTTGAAAAACAGAAAAATCAAAAAACTGAAAAATCAAGAATCAAGATTGAAAAATTGAAAAGCCGGAAATAGAGACCTCGAAATTTAAAATAAAGTTTAAAAAATTGAAAAACAAAAATATCACAAAATTGAAGAATCGAAAAATTAAAAAATCGAAACATCGAATTATCAAAAAATCGAGAAATTGAAAAACCTAAAATTTAAAAATCGAAAAATCGAAAAGTTGAAAATTGAATAAGTTTAAATAAAAAGAATGGAGAAATTGAAAAATCGAGTAATCGAAACACGAAGAAATCGAAAAATTGCAAAATCCCAAAACTGAATAATCAAAAAATTAAAAAATAGAAGAAAAATAGAACAATCGATAAACTGAAAAACCTAAAACTAAAACAACGAATAATTGAAAAATTGAAAATAGAGAAATCGAAAA